CTTTGATGAGTAAGATTATTTTTCTCCAGAAGGAAATAATAATAGCTACAGCAGTTTCAAATAAATTATCCTTTTAAGAGACTGATCCTATTCAGGCATTGACATCAGTGGATATTTTCCTCAAGAAAAGCCTAAAGGATCAGACCCTTTATATATCAGTTTGATATATGCTGAAGGATAGCTCCTTCAAAGAAAAAAATAAACCACAAAAAGCACCACACCACATACACACAGAGCAACACTGCATCTATTGATTTTAATGAACAGGATCAGCTCCTTAGTTCACAGAATTTAATAATACTAGATTATACATGAATAAATGAAAAAGCACCTAATACATGTACAACCATATACAGAGCAACTGCTGGATGTCTTAAAAATGTAGATTATGAAAACAAAATGAAAATATATGCAAGAAAAATGTGACTGTTCCAAATAAATTCAGGGCATTTAAATAATAACAATTACATACTTTAATACTCCTGGCACCATTTAAGTATTAATTTTACATTTGAAACTGCTGATTGCACAATGAATATATGTGTTTTGGGCAGATAGCAGCTATTTTGCTCGTTAAAGCATACATTACATTTCACTAGTAATAAGGAAGTCTTCGTAGGCTCTTCTGAAACAAAGCTTCTATTTTTCTTTACTGGTAATAGAAAAATCAAACATTCCAAGCAAGTGGAATAACAAAGATCAAGAAATCGATGAATCAACCTTCCTTTACAGCAAACTTACTACAGCAATACGTGGTATACTCTATTCATTTTACATTCGTGCTTCTCAAAATAAACCTGTTTTTGGCAAAGCGATAGCACAAAGGAAACTTCAGAAAAACAAACAAACAACCAACCCTCCAAAACCCAAGATGCAACGTGCATCATCTCCGGTTCAACAAGGTATTTGATACTGTGCTAATGCCAGGCTTGTGAACCATTTTATCAACTCAACAGCACTCTTCAGTTGCCTAAACCTAGGCGCCCGCTGAGGCAGCTGGCTAAACTAGACAGCTAAAGAGCATCAACCCCCTCCGCCACACAGGCCACGCTCAACTGGGCTGGGACACGCTGCCTGCCTGGCACACCCAGGCACGCACCGCACCTGAAAGAGGGCATTTTTGCTTTAGGAGGCGAATAAGCAGAAGGGGAGACAAGCCGCACGATCCACTCCAGCCTCTGCTGAATCAGAGCATCTCCCGCTTGACCTGGCGCGCCGCATCCCTGGGCCAGCGCCAGCTGGCTCCAGCCCACCCCGATCCAGCGAGGAGAGTGGGCGGTTTGCAAGAAAGCTTCTAGTCCAAACTTAGAAAAATATTTGATGACCCCATACAGCGATGCTCTAGCACCGTTTCCACTCCAGCTAAAGCGATGAAAAAAAACCCTTTGCAAGAAAGTTCTGCATTATATTTATTTTGTTGGTTTGTCTCAAGATCTACCGAAAAAAACCCTTTGCAAGAAAGTTCTGCATTGTATTTATTTTGTTGGTTTGTCTCAAGATCTACGTGTGTGAGTGTGGTTTCATTAACAAATCACAGCACCAAGTCCTTTAAAATGACACTTTTTGGCCCCAACGCAACCAGGGGCTGACTGTTGGCAGTTCCCAACCTCGAGACGCCGCACAGTACCACCGGACTCCGATTATCGAGATACTCAGACCCATACACTGAACGCTGCTTTTCTCCTGCACGTGGCTGTATCTGCCTGTATCCAAGCTCCAAATGCTCCCACCACACCCGAGCATGAAGCAATCCCTCCGTACCATTTAGCAGTACACCGAACTCTCACGAGTTTTATGTTGGCAATTCAGATGTGTACTCAATGGCAAAACGTATCTGAATATCCAAAAAGCTCCCCAGCCACCTCCTCCTGGCGCGTGTAGTGACTGTGTGCTACATGGCTGGTCGGGTGACATGTTGTTGGAAAGATTAGATTTCCCTTACCCAATTACATAAAATATTAATGTTAATTGAGCTTATTCAGCCTTGATTCCAGTCCCTTGTTCCTTCATACAGAAGCTTTCCTATACAGTGACGCGATCATGCTTACCTCCAAACAGAAAACCCCTACGTTCATGCTACAACAACCCCTGCACTTGCACCCCATGTAAGCATGTCTTTGTGTTTAGGTGGCTCCCTACTGAAAACAGGGAGATTCCCCCTTTGTGAACTTGTTTGTTGGGGGGAGTGGTGTTTTCAGGGATTTTTCTGTTTGAGTGGTTTGTTATCGTTGGTTTTCTGTTTGGTTGGTTTTTGGGAGGGTTGTTTTGTTATTTAAATATGTCTTCTGCTTTGTAAGGAAGGGCATTAAAAACATACAGGCTATAAGCTTGACTTAGTCTTCAGTGCAGGTTTACATCCCCCCACCCCCAATGAAGGCTTTTTACAGCTTTTAACTTGTAACTGGCCAGCGCCAGCAGCATCCTTCCCCACATGAGCGGAGGGTAGCTGGTATTACACCCTCTGAACCTGCAGGCAGGTGCAAGACCAGTGAGATTTAGCTTCTTGCTCCCTGGTTATCTCATTTGGCTATTAGCTCTAGAGCCCAATGATATCATTTTGTTATCAGCTATTCCACTGCTGATGATTTTCACAGATAATAACCATGTAATTTAAAAATGAAGGAAAAAAAAAAAAAGAGGAAGATGTGGCACAGAGAAAACCAAACAGCTCAAGCTACTACGTCCTACGGAAGAGCCAGCCTTCCTTTTTAAACGCTGAATGAGATAATCAAGCACTGAAAAACACCAGTTTATTACCTAAAACTCTGCATTACCTATCTCTGAAAAGCCTCCTGAGATAGGTGTTGAGGCCTGAGAGGAGTGGTGCATGTTTCAGCCTCCTCACCACTCCCGAGGAGATGGGGATGCCTCCAAAGGGCAGGCTACAGGTTTTGCCATTTTGATTCCCCACGTAAATGCTCTGGGTTTATCGGAAACCAACTATGTTACTTGCAAAACACTAAAATACTTATAAAATACTACTCAAAATAGATAAATATGGCAAATTACAGCCCTGTTTAGCAACTTACATGTAAAGATGATAACAGTCATAACAAACATACTAATGATTTTTTAAAATCACTATTATAGTGGTTTCTATGACGTCCTTTATATACAACCCATTTTTTCGACATGGCCTGACTGTAATCTTATAAAACAAAAAAAAAGCAAACCAAAGCCCTTTCATAAATAATACATTCAATAGCCACAAAAAGTAATTTCCCCAAAATTCATTTCAATCTCTTGCCTTACCGAAAGTGTGCACAGCATAAAAACTTCCTGCTTTGAAAGTTGTAAAAATGTTAAAAATTACAAATGCACAAATGTAAAACAGAACTATCCAGGGATGAAGCAGCATCCACATGCTAAACACGCACCTATCTGAAGCAACAGACCTGTAAACAACTCCAGTTAACAAAATACTACTCCTAATTCAGATTTAATATAAATATAGTACACTGCCTACAAACAAGCTGCTATACTTTTCCCAAATAATCTGACAAATATTATCATAGTGCTACGAAGAATTATAAAAAGGATATGCAACGATACCCATACATTAAAATATTAATTTTATTCCAGTATTAGAGAAGTGGTAACCACATCTGTAATTAACATATGTGTTTTAAAGCATATTTTAAAGCATATAAATGAGTGAATAGAGTTAAGGTTGGACAATCATCAGTATTTGATGTTTTCTCCTTTTGACTTATATAGTAGATATATTTTATATATATATATATATATATACACATATATATACACAAATAATCATAATGTTCTCACGGCCCAATATTTTGCAATTAATTTAATTTTTACATTTATGTTTCTCATACGTTCTGGGAAATATTCATGAGTAGTTGACTTTACTAATACAGTTTGATTTTCTATGAGTTAGTGCCTAATTTTATGTTGTGTTGTGTTTTGGCAGATGAAACTCCTACAGCAGCTTTTCCTTTCTCAACTATACAAATAGCGCTTTTTCCTCCTCCATCAGGCTGCCTGCTGAAGGTACTTTGCATCTCACAGATTTCCACCTTTGTGTCAAAGTAGGCTGGAATTGGTGGATGAGTTCAGAAGCTATCAGGAGGGTAAGAACAGCAGCGACAGCCAGCCAGCCAAGCACATGTGAGCCGACAACATTAGCCTGGTTTGTAAGGAAACAAGGCTTCAGAGGTGAGAAAAAGCGGAAGTCGACGCGTATGGCTTGAAAGCTCAATAAAAAATAATGAATAATTGCAAGGGGTTATATAATCAAACATATTAACCGCCAGTTTATTAGACACCACTTGAATGCTGCCCTTCCTGGAAGAGGGCCAGCAAAACTCAGCTGCCGCGCCTGAAGATTTTGGAAGGGCTAACTCAGAGCAGCTCAAGGACTGGGGAGGCAGATGCATGCAGGGCACAGGTCTCCTCCACTGCACAGCCAGGTTAAACTCACCAAAACACCTTTTTTGAATGTTACACGATATTCAAGCACTTCCTTCAAAGACAGTTAATCCAGAAGGCAAACCTTCTCAGCAAAAACTATATACCCACATCAAACTGTAACTTTCGAAACTCAAGATATTTTTGCCACTGTCATCTTGTACCACAAGTGGTCCTGAAATAGAAAATTGTGAAAGTCAGCATGGGGAAAATAAGAGTAGCCATGTGCATGATTCCTTACCGGATCAAAGGGTTCCTAAATCACATGGAAAGCTGTTGTGACTGCTCTGTGGATAATTTGAATTGGGCATCTGTGTAGCTAAATTGATGGTGAAAGCATGCATTTCCCAAATAAGTGATCCCGAGTCTTTGCTGGCATAGAAGAACCTATATTGAACAAGTAACACAGGCAACAACACGTTTTGCAAATTAAAAACCTAAACCCCAAGTCAGCAGGGAGAGCAGTGGTCACGAACAACATCACAGGCTCGCACAAGCAACATGAGTTATGAGCCTGGGACTTTGACTGCCCTAAGCTAACATATAGGGACGTTTATGCTGTCTTAGTAGCGGCATCTGAGCAGTGCTCTATAACATCATTTAAGAGCACTTAACTATCTTCATGTCACCACACAAAGGACTAAGATTATATCTGTAGGAAAACTGCACCATGCTCAGATTAGACCCCCTGCTCCCAAACCAAGCATGGAAATACCTGGCTTCATTGACGCCCCTGCCTACAGCAAGACACAGACAGTTCATGGGCACCACACACACTAATGTAAGCACAGCCATTTCCAGAATCAAAGCCAGGATCAGACCCTGGGACCATTCAGGATTTGGGGGGTTATTTCTCTGGAAGCTGGATCAGCCTAGGCGGCCCGGCCACCACGACCACCAAATAACTCTTTCAAAGAGCTTGGTAAAAAACACCCAAAAGGAGCAGATACAGAAGTGTAAGTTACGTTACACACTTTCATGCCACGCTGCAGCAGCTAGAACACTCAGGAAAGGAAAGCGAGCAACTATTCAATAAATGTATATATTAACAGTGTCATACAATTAAAAAAATAATAATGGATATGCCACAACTTCCCCCAGTTCTTGGAAATATCCCAGGTCAAGATCACGCTTCAGCCCCAAAGGGAAATGCTTTACAAAGTTAGATCATTGGAGAAGACAGATACATAAAATAAAGTTTTATGCAGTCTTAATTACAGAAGCTACTTATTGCAACAAGCAGACTTGGGACGTACTTCTATTAAAACTAACAAGTAACTTCACAGACTTGTGTTAACTTTTTCTCTGTGAATAAATTGCAAAGGATATTATTCCTGGGACAGAATAAATTCTTGAAATTAGTGAGTAACTTATGCCTCACTCCCTTGCTCCAAGAACACATTATTTATTTTTACCACGACATAGCAAAGTTATTAATCTGCTGCCTTCCATTTCAACAATGTGAAATGCTGTAAAATGCACAGACACCTGCATTACAGTACATTTCAGTTCCACTTTATACCAGCCATAAACATTTCTGGTTTGGACATCTCTTCAAAACAAATGCTCCAAGCACACTGTGTGTAGCGTTCGATTTTATGAAACTATAAAAGTTCTTCACTGTTAATTACACAGACAAATGTCTCATCACACATTTGATTACCAGGATAATATAATTAGTTTTCTACATTAACCTTTCAAACATAGAGCCTGAATTTCAAGTTGAAAGCATTGTAAAAGCACCCAGTCTGGAGGTATATTATGTTTCCGCTTTTTTGTGATGATAATAAAATATTAAGACCGAAAAAAACCCAATGTGGTGTATGCAAAAGGTGGGGGGTTTTTTTTGTATAGACAAGCTAGGTTTAACCAGCATTGTCCACACAACACGGGTGTACAGTCCCCTCACGGGATTGTATTTCCAAGTCTGGGCTAGCAGCCCTGTGACAGAAGGTTTACGCTGATAACTGGTAAAAGCTGAAGCCAGGTCTGTCTTAAATCGTGTCCGTATTCGAGGTTTAAGCACTTCACTCTGGGCTGCCTCCTTCTTTTCAGGTCGAGGAGTCTCTCCTGGTATCAGAAAACTAAGCCCTTCCCTTCAAAACCACAGAGATGCCAGTCCTTGTCTGCAAAATACAGTAGCGGTATTTCCCCCTTCTACCCCCTCAAATGTTGTAAAGGCTGTGTTTAGTATGTCCTTCATCTAGAAAGAGGTGACTTCTCGTTTATCACCTTACCAGAACAAAGGATCGGAGGAGAGGACAAGCCACCACATCTCCCACTCCAACACATCACATGAGCAGACTTCCCAAGCTTACCGAGCTCCATTCAAAAAGCAGTTGGACTTTACACCATGGCAACCATCAGAGGTCACGTCCAGTACCACGTTCCTCTAACTGCGCTGAAGCTTCCTCCGATTTTCCAGACTACATTTACACAAAGCCATGTTTTGCCCATCTGTGCTGGTGTCAAAAAGACCATCTAAGTTCAACAGGTCTTTCCGGACACTTGATCCTTAATTTATCTGCATGTTAAACAAAGTGGATTCTTCTGATTTACTCATACACGTTAGAAGCTCCCTTTTTCTTGACAGTGCATCTCTTCAGTTTGATTTCATCGTTCTCGACTGTGCAACCAAAACATATGCACATCCCATTCCTGATAAAGCTGCCCTCGTTTATACACTGGCGTTAACACTTCACCTTTTCTAAAGATAATGGTTTCAATGATGTGTCTCAGCATCCATTAACATACTAAAGGCTGCCTCATGTTGAGGTTTCAGCAGCTGATCTCATGGATCAGTTAAATTGGAGAACAAACTTGACTCTAAACCAACAAGTTGGAGTGAACATCTTTCTGGGATGAATTTTGGCATAAAATCAAGTGAAGCTGCGAGTATACCACTTCTTAGTGGACAGGACGCCAAGCTGGGGAAAGGGTTGTGACTTCACCACCCCTGAAGCACAAGGAAAAATTACTCTAATGCAATGTGAAATTTTTTAAAGGAAAGCTGGAGTGCCAAATGTCACTCATCCCAGATCCCTGCGGAACAGTGGGAGCTCCGATTTCAAGTGCTTTCAGCGAAGTTCAGTCCCTGACACTGCT